AAAGTGGACCTTTTCAAACCTAAATGACCAGAGATATAGAGAAAGATAGAGTTAGAAATAGATAGATAGAGAGAGAGAGAGACAGAGACAGAGAGACAGAGACAGACAGAGACAGAAAGACAGACAGACAGATATAGAGATAGACAGAGACAGAGACACAATTAAAGATGTAGTAATTTTGACCATGGAGAACTCTCACTAATATTTAAGTAAGTAACATTTACAAGAGTTGGAGGAACCTTGGAGGTCTTCTAGTCCAACCCCCTGCTCAAGCAGGAGATCCTGTATCAGTGGTGGCAAACCTATGGCACACGTGCCATAGGCAGCACTCAGAGCCCTCTCTGTGGGCACGCTTGCCATGCCCCAGAGATGGCAACCGTCCCTCTTCAACCAGCCGCCCACTAACTTGCCGAGGTCCCACATGGCTGGATGCACCCATGCACTCACTGGCCTCTGTGTGCAGGGGCCAATGGTGTCAGGCAGCAAACGCCCCGGCCCCTGCCTCACCTTGCCCTATGACAATGGCACCCCCGCCCTGCCTCGCCTTGCCTCGCCCCACCCCGCAGGACGAGCCTCCTGCCCACCGCCCCACCTGCCAGAGACCCCCTGGATCTCCCCCAACCCTGCCCGGCCCCCACAGGCATCCCTCCCCACGAGCAACATTGAGGTGATCACGCCCACCTTGGCCACACCCACCCAATCTGCCATGACCACCATAGCCACGCCCATCCAGTGGGCCATGCCCACCTGGCACCCGGCGATAAATAAGTGGGTTTTGGGTTGCAGTTTTGGCACTCGGTCTCTAAAAGGTTCGCCATCACTGTCCTATACCCTTTCAGCCAACTCGCTGTCCAGTCTCTTCTTAAAAACCTCCAGTGATGGAGCACCTATAACTTCCGACTGCAAGCTGTTCCACTGGTTAATCGTTCTCACTGTCAGGAAATTTCTCCTTAGTTCTAGTTGCTTCTCTCCTTAGTTTCCATCCATTGTTTCATATCTTGCCTTCTAGTGCTTTGGAGAATAGGTTGACCCCCCCCTCTTCTTTGTTGCAGCCCCTCAAATATAGGGACACTGCTATCATGTCACTACCTAATCCTTCTCTTGGTTAGACTGGCTACCAATATCCAATTCCTGCGACCGTTCTTTGTATGTTTTAGCTTCGTGTGTTTTTGCTTGGATGCTGCCTCTGCCTTAACTTCCCACCTCTGAAATGAGACCATGAATAATGAACATGGCAGCTACGCTCTGAAGATCTATAATTAAGCCCCAGTTTGTGGCCAAAGGCTAAACCAAGGAAGGAAAGAATGAAGCTGATTTTAGTTCATTTCCATGGAGGCAGCACCGGGGAGACAGAAGCGAGGAGGCAGAGGAGGCAGAGCACTGCGGAGCTATCTGCTGGAAGATCAGAAGAAGGGGGGGGTGTTTCAAACCACCATGGCGTACACAAGCACACAAAGCTCTTTAGATGTAGCTTCATGCATTCTCCCCCACCCCCTGATCCCTGCATACCCTCCCCAGTTTGAGAAAGCATCAGAGGATTCTAGCAATAAAGGCGACACTTAAAGATGTACAAAACCATTATCTGAGCTGCGATGTCTCTTAAACATTTAACGTATTATGAGAACATAACAGAAGAGAAGTAAACATATAAATATAAATCTTCTTCTTCTTGTGCCATATCTGTTATCGGACGTTGGAGATCATGTTGGCGATCCTGTTTTTATCAGCAGCTCGCACAAAAAAGTGCTGCTGAGTCTTGTCCAAACCAGTCCCCTAGATTTTGAAGCCACGATGTTCTTCTTCTGCCTGGACCTCGTTTGCCTTCAATCTTTCCCTGGAGGATTAAATGGAGTATGCCGTATTTTTCTGGGTGTCGCATCACATGTCCGAAATATTCTAATTTTCGTTTTTTAATTGTTTTGATGATTTCTCTTGGCTTTCCCAGGCGGCTTATCACCTCCTCATTTCTGATCTTGTCAACCCAGCTTATACGTAACAGCTGCCTGTAAATCCACATTTCAAATGCTTCTAGTCTCTTCAGGTGGCCTTCTGTCAGAGACCAACTCTCTACTCCATAGAGCAGGATAGAAAAAATATAGCAAGCATCTGACAAGCCTGATTTTCAGTCTTAGGCTTATGTCGTGACTGCAGAAGACCTTTTTCATTTTGAAGAATGCTGTTTGAGCTTTTTCTATCCTTGTCTTTACTTCAGTGGTCACGTCCCAGCTTTCATGTAAATTAGAACCGAGGTGCGTGATCCTTTCAACTTTTTCTAGTGGTATTCCTTCTGAATTTATTGGTGGTAAATTAATGGGTTGTTTGCTGACAACCATGATCTTGGCTTGTGAGGTGTTAAGCTTCAAGCCGTATTTTTCAGATATTTCTGTGACTCTGTTGATGAGGAGCAGAAAGTCTTCATGCTTACTGGCAAGCAGAACTGTATCGTCAGCATATCTTAAGTTGTTGATCCAAACACCGTTTACTTGGATGCCAGCGTCGATGTTCTCCAGTGCCTCATTGAAGATTGACTCAGAGTAGATATTGAACAACAGTGGAGACAGAATACATCCCTGTCTGACCCCTCTTCTTATTTCTGCATCAGCTGAGTATTTTTGGCCTAGTCTCACATTCGCTACCTGATGCCAATACAGATTCTTTATTATTTGGATGTCTTTGTCATCTAGTCCCCCTTGTTTCAGGATTTCTAATAGTTTGCTGTATCTTATTTTATCAAAAGCTTTTTCGAAATCAATGAAGCACATATAAACACTGTGATTGACATCTCTACAACGCTGTACAAGAACCTGAATGCTGAACAGCGCATCTCGTGTACCAAGATTGTTTTCTGAAACCAAATTGTGTGTTACCTAGACGCTCTTCAATTTTGTTGTATATTCTTGTGTGAATTATTCTCAGGAATATTTTCAGGGCATGATAAATATATTTATAAATATAAATGTATATGTCTAAACATACACAGTCCTCAATTTACGACAGTTCGTTTATTGACTGTTCAAAGTTACAACAGCACTGAAAAAGTGGATATGACCATTTTTTCATACTTAGGACTGTTGCCAGCATCACATGATCAAAATTCCAATGTTTGGCAACCGACTCGCATTCATGACGGTTGCAATGTCTCTGTGTCATATCATCCCCTTTTGTCCTCAACTTACGACCACCATAGAGCCCAAAATTTATGTTGCTAGGCGAAAGGGTTGTTAAATGGATTTTACCCCATTTTACAACCTTTCTTGCCACAGTTGTTAAGTAAGTCGCTGCAGCTCTTATGTTAGGAACACGGTTAAATGAATCGGGCTTCCCCATTAACTTTGCTTGTTAGAAAGTCACAAAAGAGGGGTCACATGATCCCAGGATACTTCAAACAATATAAATACATGCCAGTTGTCAATTTTGATCAGGTGACCACAAGGAGGCTGCAGTGGTCGTAAGTGTGAGAAACGATCCTAAGTCCCTTTTTTCAGCACCGTTGCAACAAACTGCTGTAAGTTGAAGACCATTTCTATGGCCTGGCCTGATGAAGCCGTATAGCAGGGGTCTTCAAACCTGACCCTTTTATGGCTTGTGGACTTCAACTTCCAATATCTTAGGGGCTGCCACAAAGAAGAGGGAGTCAAGCTATTCTCCAAAGCACCTGAAGGCAGGACAAGAAGCAATGGATGGAAACTGACCAAAGAGAGAAGCAACCTGGAACTAAGGAGAAACTTCCTGACAGTTAGAATAATTAACCAGTGGAACAACCTGCCTCCAGAAGCGGTGAATGCTCCAAAACTGGAAGTTTTTAAGAAGAGACTGGATAGCCATTTGTCTGAAATGGTATAGGGTTTCCTGCCTGAGCAGGGGGTTGGATTAGATGACTTCCAAGGTCCCTTTCAACTTTATTATTATTATTATTATTATTATTATTATTATTATTATTATTATTATTATTATTATTATTATTACTACTATTACTACTACTACTACTACTACTACTACTACTACTACTACTACTATTATTATTATTATTATTATTATTATTATTATTATTATTATCTCCCAGAATTCCTTAGCCAGCATGCCTGGCTGAGGAATTCTGGGAGTTGAAGTCCACAAGTCATAAAAGGGCCAAGTTTGGAGACCCCTGCTCCCATCTCTGGATATTTTCTTGCCCGCAACAAACAACAAGAGATAAACAGAAGATGGTGAGGTGGCTTGCTCAGAGTCAAAACCATGAGTGCTGCAGCTGCCACATATCCTAGTGAACAGATGCCTGTTGCAAATGCTTTTTAAGAACTTTTTAATGGTTCTTCAAAGGCAGGAAGTCCAAAGGCTTCCATCTTCATTTGGCTCCTTTCAATAAGCGAAGGAGGGAAGGGCAAGGAAGCCCTGAAGACGAATGGACCCAGATAATCTCCCTACCTGTCGTTCTATCGATTTGCTTCTCCAGATGGACACCGGAGGGGGCTTCCATTTCTTCTCCAGGAATGCAGCCCTTCAAAATGTGATTTTACTGCTGCTCGCTCTTTCTTTCTTTCTTTCTTTCTTTCTTTCTTTCTTTCTTTCTTTCTTTCTTTCTTTCTTTCTTTCTTTCTTTCTTTCTTTCTTTCTTTCTTTCCTACTTTCTTTCTTTCTTTCTTTCACTTAGCAACAGAAATACTGGGCTTAGTTATGGTCGTAACTCAAGAACTACCTGTAATAGAAAAGTTAGATGTGAACAGTAACATCATGACAGACATTTCTTGGCTTCTGTTTGCTCCCCACATCCACACAACCTGGAATACATTTTTAGCTGTGCCGTTGGAGATCCTTCTGGGCCACACGTTGCCCATCCTGGTTTATGCCACAAATAACCCCCAAGACGTGATGTCACTCACTTCCTGATAACTGTATTTGCTTTCCCTGGAGCAAACTCTGGCTAATATGGCCTTGCAGTTGGCTTCCATACGAGAGGCCGCCTGCCTAACTCTCTTTCTCGATGTCTTGTCTTTCTCCTACAGAGAAACAGCGAGAGCTGGCTCGGAAGGGGTCCCTGAAAAATGGCACCATGGGGAGCCCGGTTAACCAGCAACCCAAGAAGACCAACGTCATGGCTCGAACAAGGTGGCTGCTTCTTCCTCGTGAGATGCTTTGTGTGTCTACAACAATGTTTCTCAACCTTGGCAGCATTAAGAGGGATGGACTTCAACTCCCAGAATTCCCCAGTCCACACATTGAATTGTGAAGTCTGCACCGTTCCACCTGTGTGGACTCCACCGTTCCACCTGTGTGGACTACACCTTTCAAATTGTGTGGAATCTACTGTTCCACCTGTGTGGACTCCACCGTTCCACCTGTGTGAACTCCACCTTTCAAATTGTGTGGACTCCGCCATTCCACCTGTGTGGACTCCACCTTTCAAATTGTGTGGACTCCACCTTTCAAATTGTGTGGACTCTACCGTTCCACCTGTGTGGACTCCACTGTTCCACCTGTGTGGACTCCACTGTCCCAACTGTGTGGACTCCACCTGTGTGGACTCCATCGTTCCAATTGTGTGGACTCCACCGTTCCACCTGCATGGACTCCACCATTCTACCTGCGTGGACTCCACCGTTCCACCTGCGTGGACTCCATCATTCCAACTATGAAGTCTGGGAGTTGAAGTCCACACATTGAACTGTGTGTAAAACAAAATTACTCTCCATACTTTTGTTTTTCTATTCTACGGTGTTGACCATTAGAAGCAACAGCTGCAGCACTGGAGGGCAAAGCTTTGGAACCTTAACTTGGGAGGCATAGATGCAGATCCTCATTCTGTGGAGAAAATATCATCTATTTAGCCCAGAGGTGTCTCCAATCTTGGCAACTTTTAAGACCTGTGTGGACTTCAACTCCCAGCATTCCACAGCCAGCTCTGCTCTGCTGGTTGCAGAACGCTAGGAGTTGAAGTCCACGCCTCTTCAAGCTACCAAGGTTGAGAAACGCTGGTCTATAGGACTTCCACTGGGGTAATCTGGTTTGGGAGAAATCAGTGACCCCTAAAGCGGAGCGATGAGATATATCTGCCTTTTCAGATTAAAATATAGAACTAAGAACAATAGGGTACGGACTCTGGAGAAGCTTCTGATCAAAAGACCAGTTTGAAAACAGCTCTGGCAGAGTCTCATCACCCGAATTTAATTTACATCCTTGGTGCTCCCTGAGTTGGGCTGTTTTCTTGCAGATGTTTTATGACCCAACTAGGTAACTTCATCAGTGCTAGAAGAGACTGGGTTTTGTTCTCTTTTTACATACAGGCGGTTTGGATAGAAAGGAATGTTTGTAGCTCAGGGTTGAACTGTGGGGTCCTGCAGCATTGATGATGTAACCTAATAAGAGCACCAAGGACCCCACAGTCCTCCTCCTCCTCCCCTTCCTCCTCTCCACGCATACCCCGTCTAGCACTGATGATGTTACCTAGTTGGGTCATGAAACATCTGCAAGAAAACCACCAAGCTCAGAGGGCACCAAGGACCCTACAGTCCTCCTTCTCCTTACCTTCCTCCTCCTCCCCTTTTCCCTTTCTCCTCCTCCCTTCTCCTCTACTCTGCAAAGCCCACTCCCTTCAAGCACTGATGATGTTACCTAGTTGGGTCATGAAACGTCTGCAAGCAAACAACAAAGCTCAGAGAGCACCAAGGACCCCATAGTCGTCGTCGTCGTCGTCGTCCTCCTCCTCCTCCTCCTCCTCCTCCTCCTCCTCCTCCTCCCCCCAAACCTCACTCTCTTCTACCATTATTTTGCCTACTTGGGTAATGAAACGCCTGCATGAAAACAGCCTAGCTCAGAGACCACCAAGGACCTCACAGTCCTCCTCCTCCTCCTCTTCCTCCTCTCCACACACCCCTCTCCCTTCTAGCACTGATGATGTTACCTAGTTGGGTCATGAAACATCTGCAAGAAAACCACCAAGCTCAGAGAGCACCAAAGGAGCCTGCATTCTGAATTGTCCTGAGAAAGAAACCAGGATCCAGAGAAACCTCTTTAGGGCGAGACCGAGTTTAGTTTTTTCCTAAACGCAGCTCCATTTTTGCAACCTTCTTTTGGAGTGGTTATTTGTGCAAATCCACTCGTTCCGCTTCAGTTATTGTACATGACACTGGGCAAACCCATGAACATCATCCCTCCCAAATTCATTGTCTCTAAAATTCCGACCTGTTTCCCCAAATAAAATTCAGAAGAAGCTAGACTGCTGCTACGAATAATTATATACTGTATATCATTCATGTTTCTCCCCCCCCCCGAAGATTGTGCAATTTGCCTTGGAAATTAGACTTGGGAGGGGGGTTTTTGGGTGCTGCTGTCAGCAACACTGCGCCTAGATTTTATTCTGCTTAATTTTTATTTCACGGGTTGTTAGAGCCACCCAATTCAAATAAAGTGACTCTAGGTTGCATTTAACGGAAGCAAAAAACAAAACAACAACAGCTAATCAAATCAGGTTGAAAGGGAACAACAGCCCGATGTAAAACTATTGAGTCTGTGACGGCACGAGTCCTATACTCTCTGTAAATAAATACATTTATCAGACTTCTATAATCCATTTTGACACACATGCCAGCCGGTTTTCAAGTTCTATTTGTCCCCAGTTGGTGTTTAAGTAGGAGGGTGACAGGCAGAAAGTCAAGGACACAGCCCTTCATAAGTTCATTTTACAGGTAGTCCTTGACTTACGTACATCAGTCCATTTTTTTTAAAAAAAAACTTTTTATTAATTTTCCAGTGTTACAATTATATCTTTGAAAAGCAACATGGTGTCTGAGTTACAATAATTCCATTACCTACAAATATTATTAATACAAATCTCCAACTATTACAGCCAATATTTCCTCTCTCTTTTCCCTTAGTACATACTGTCTCTTGTTTAAATTAGTATACTTCTTATTCTATCCATCAGCTACTTAATAGCTTTCTTACATTGATCAATAATTTTATATGTCTTATTTATTTTAACATTCCATCTTTTGGACCATCAATAACCTTATAAATTTTCCCAGCTTTAATTTTGCGTTGGTTTTTAAATTAAACGTTTAATATTTATCATTTCCCAATTTTTAAATGACCCCAATTCCCTTTTGTCACAATTCCCCCCAACATCTAGTGTTCCAGATACATATCTATCTCACTTCTATATAAACAGATTAGTAATACATCAGTCCATTTAGTGATCATTCAGAGTTACAACGGCACTGAAAACTATGACTTTTGACCGTTTTTCAGTTTACGACCATTGCAGCATCCCCGTGGTCACATGATCAAAATTCAGACGTTTTGCAGCATCCTGGGATCAGGTGGATCTCCTTTTGCAACCTTCTGACAAGCAAAGTCAATGGGGAAGCCAAATTCACTTAACCACCAGGTTGCTAACTGATCAACTGCAGTGCTTCACTTCACTGGGACAAGAGACGTCGTAAAAGGGGGCAAAACTCACTTAACAGATGTCTCACTTAACCACAGAAACTTTGGGCTTGATTGTGGTCATAAGGCGAGGACTAGCTGTATTACAGCATGTGGCAAAGGCATTCGTTAACAAATTGCTACCGGTAGACCTCGAATTAACGACCACAATCGAGATCCAGAATTTTGATTGCTAAAGCAAGGTGGTCCTTAAACAGGCCATTTTACGATCTTTTTGCTAAGGTCGTTCAGCGAAACACTGCAGTTGTTGAGCTGGGACTCCCATGTGGGCATTAAGCCGATCTGGCTCCCCCCCCCGGTTGACTTTGCTTGACAGAATCCAGCTAGGAAAGCCGCAAAGGAGCCATCATCAATAACACGCCAGTTCCTAGGTGACTGAAGTTTGATCAAGTGACCCTGGGGATTCTGTGACGGTTGTGCTGTGAGTCCGTGACAGTCAGTGGACCCGGCAGCTGAGTCTGGGGAATCAGAGGAGGAGGAGGAGGGCTCTGGAGAGCCATCAGAGTCGGAGGAAGGCTCTGATGAGCTTTAGGATTTACCATCTGATGAAGAGCCTGGCCCCTCCACTGGTGCTCAGACTGAGACCCAGCTGTGCTGGGAAGCCGAGTCAGACTCTGAGGACTCACAGCTGGAAGATATCATAGACCAGGGCTTTTCAACCTTTTCACCCATTGTACCACTTTTAGGATATGGCAACATCCGAGTACCACCAGTCGCCTAGCAAGGTGTCAAAAACTTGATGACCCCCCCCAAAAAAGGAAAAAAGTGATAAAGTACTGGTAGTCCTCGACTTACAACAGTTCGCTTAGTGACTGTTTGAAGTTACAATGGCACTGACAAAAGTGCCCCCCATGCCACAGCCGAGCAAGACACCTGCCTGCCCGCCCGGCCGCGCTCTTCCTCCTGTCCGAGGTTTTCATGGTTGTGAGCATTTCTGTTGAGGATTGGCACTGGAGGTGGGGTGGGGGGTGTTTGGTTTTTATTCCCCCCCCCCCCCGTCTGCTGGGTGGTTGCAGCAGGTTTTGGTCATTTCACATGACCCTGGGACACTGTGACCGTCATAAATATGAATCAGTTGCCAAGCATCTGAATGTAAATCACAAGACCCTGGAGATGCTGCAACATTCCAGCTGATCGGCGCTTCTTCAGAGCTCAGCAGAAGCGCCAGGATCAGTGCTGCTTTCCAGCTGATTGGTGCTTCTTCAGGGCTCAGCAGAAGCGCCAGGATCAGCGCCGAGCTCCAGCTGGAGCCTGGTGCTGATCCTGGCGCTTCCACTGAGCCCTGACAGCCCCAAAGAAGCACCGATCAGCTAAAAAGCGGCACTGATCCTGGCGCTTCCATGAGCCCTGACAGCCCCAAAGAAGCACCGATCAGCTAAAAAGCGGCACTGATCCTGGCGCTTCCACTGAGCCCTGACAGCCCTGCAGCTCCAGCCATCTCTTGCTCAGGCTTGTGCAGTGCTGCCACCGGTTCAGCTCATTCCCCTCCCCCGCTACCACTTTTCTAGGATGGTCGCATACCACCTGCCAGGTGCCAATGTACCACAGGTGGTACCCGTACCACTGGTTGAAAAGCCCTGTCATAGACGCTCGCAAACGCAGACAGGCAACAAGAGCAGGACAGAGGGAGGCAATGGGGCGACTTCAAGGGAGGAGGAGAAGGCATTGAGAAGCCACACCTTGGGGCTGCATAATAAAAAGGGAAAGTGTGGGCGGTGCTGGTTGCTAAAGGCAACCGTTTGCAAAGGACTTAAGTTTTATGGAATCCTGTTTTGTTTGCCTTGCCTGTGAACAATTCTCCGTTTGAATCGTGTTTTGTTTGCCTTTGCTTTTGGGACATTTTGCAGGTCTGTACCTAACTAATAAAAGGGGTTTGTCTTCCCTGCATTTCCAGCCTACTTGTTAAAAGAGGGGTTTGCCCTTGTGAACTAACAAGGACTCACATAAGCTGGGACAGAACAGGTCGTAAAGGGGAGGACCAGTCGTATAGCGCTTTTTTTCAGCATCATTGGAACTTTGAATCTTCACTAGCTCTGTCAACATCTGTGCATTTTGTGCTGTACAAGTAGTTGTCGACTTACGATCACCGTTGAGTCCGACATTCCCCTTGCTAAGCAGGGTAGTTGTTAAATAAGTTGTGTCCCACTTTACGACCTTTTCGCCACAGTTGCTGGGTAAAATCACAGCAGATGTTAAGCGAATCATGTGGTCATTAAGCAACTCTGCCTTCTCCCCCCCCCCCCCCCGGCTGACTTTGCTTGTCAGAAATCGCTGGGAAGGTTACAAATGGCGATCACATGACCCTGGGACAGTGCAACCATCCTAAGTACACGCCAGTTGCCGAGCCTCTGAATTTTTGATCGCATGATTGTGGGGATGCTGCAACGGTCGTAAATGTGAAAAACCCATCGTAGGTCACTTTTTTCAGCGCCATTGTAACTTTGAACAGTCACTAAACAAACTGCTGTAAATCAAGGACTACCTGTAGTAACTGAGAAGCCTTGTCTCTAACACTGTAGTATGAGAAAGCATTTTCCTTACAGTAGACTTTTATCTTTGCCTAATCTGAAACCCCGGGTACTATTTTTCACCCGCTTTTATTCTTCATTTGAGCTTCTTATGTATCCACGACAGTCCATATAATGTTCCTTTCTTTCATTTCAGGCTGGTTGTTCCTAATAAAGGCTACTCCTCGTTAGATCAAAGTCCCGATGAAAAGCCATTGGTGGCTCTGGACACGGACAGGTAGATATGAAATGACAAAACTAACCTATGAAATTATATTATTTAGAAGATAGACAAATAGAGTTGGAAGGGACCTTGGAGGTCTTCTAGTCCAGCCCCCTGTTCAAGCAGGAGACCTTATACCAGGGGTAGGCAACCGTGGCTCTTTTATGACTCGTGGACTTCAACTCCCAGAATTCCTGAGCCAGCATAGCTGGCTCATAGCTGGCTCAGGAATTCTGGGAGTTGAAGTCCACGAGTCATAAAAGAGTCAAGGTTGCCTACCTCTGCCTTATACCATCCCAGTCAAATGGTTGTCCAGTCTCTTTTTGAAAGCCTCCAGTGATGGAGCACTCACAATTTTTGAACTTCTCATTTGTGGCCATACGATTAAATGTGATTGCTCCGTGTAGAATTTTTGGGAATCCTTTTCTGGGGACCCTCAAGTTTCCCCAGCTTTTGATTTGTGCATTCACTTTGCCAGCTAACAAGGCCAAAAGTTAATATTTGTAAGTTGTAAGATTTGTTTTGTTGAAGTTGTTTCGTTCATAGCTTTCATTTTTCATACTGCTTCCACCTCAAAGTGAGTATACCTTTAATATATAACACCACCACTTTCTATATACAATCTTTCTCCCGTCCAGTGTTCTCCAGATGTATCTAGGCTGCTGTGTTGAGAAATTTTGTGAGTTTACTCCAAGCTATTTGGTGACATTATGAAGGTACTCACTGCTACAAGTCACAAGCTCTGACGGTGCTTAAAATGGCTGAGAAGAACATAGAACAGAGAATTCTAGCGCTGGAAGGGATCTTGGAGGTCTTCTAGTCCAACCCCCTGCTCAAACAGGAGACCTTAGATCAGACATGTCAAACACAAGGCCCGGGAGCCAGATGGGGCCCGCAAAGTGGTTTCATGTGGCCCGCGAAGCCATCCTGGAAACAGTGAGGGAACGGCCCCCGCTGCCTTGGCCCTGGCCCAGGCCGGCCGGGAGCCAATGTACAATTTTGTGGTGGCCATCTTGGCACTTGCCCCAGTGGACCATGCCTTGGTGCTTGCCCCGGTCCCACCCCCTTCTGCCAGAGACCCTCAGATCTGTCCCACTCCTGCCCAGGCTCCATAGGCACTCTTGATGCGAATGATGTAGAACTGGCCATGCCCACCCAGTAGGCCATACCCACTCCATCCACGCCCACCCAGAAGGCTGCACCCACTCTGGCCACACACACACACCCCAGGGCAACCACAATGCTGATGCGGCCCTCAGTGAAATTGAGTTTGACACCCCTGCCTTAGATGATCACAGTCAAACGTTTGTCTAATCTCCTCTTAAAAACCTCCAGTGATGGAGCACCCACAACTTTCCACTCATTAATTAACAAAGTAACAGAATAACAGAGTTGGAAGGGACCTTGGAGATCTTCTAGTCCAACCTCCTGCTCAGGCAGGAAACCCCTATACCATTTTAGACAAACGGTTGTCCAATCTCTTCTTAAAAACTTCCAATTTTAATTGTATTCACAACCTCTGAAGACAAGCTGTTCCACTGATTAATTGTTCTCACTGTCAGGAAATTTCTCCTTAGTTCCAGGTTGGTTCCCTCCTGGGTTAGTTTCCATCCTTTGTTTCTTGACCTGCCCTCAGATGCTTTGGAGCAGGGTCTTCAAACTTGGCAACTTTAAGACTTGTGGACTTCAACTCCCAGAATTCCTCAGCTAGCCCTGGCTGGCTGAGGAATTCTGGGAGTTGAAGTCCACAAGTTTGAAGACCCTTGCTTTGGAGAATATAGGTTGACACTCCCTCTTCTCTGTGACTTCCTGGAGATAGAACAGTTACGTTCATATAGACCACAGATCCATCCCGATGGGTCCCATAGGGCTGTCCTCTCCTTGTCTATGAAAATGAACAGCAGTGTGCTACACAACATGCTCTTTTGCTTGCTGGAGATGCCTTTCCCCATTGTGTCTTGTCTTGCTTTGCAGTGATGACGACTTTGACATGTCCAGATATTCCTCCTCGGGATATTCTTCAGCTGAGGTGGGTCCCATTCCGTCCCTTTGTGTCTCATGAAGAATAAACTTGTTTTTCCGTTTGCAGAGTACGAGGAATCTAAAACTATGAACTGGATTTTTAAAGGCAATGAACCTTGGCAGTACAGTAGTGGCCAAAATTGTGGAAACCTTTTGGGAAAAGTGTACTTTTGAGGTTTGATGGCTAATAACACCACTTTTTTTGGGGAGTAGTACCATAAAATCATATATCAATGGAAAGATAATTTAATCAAGAATGTAATGCAACAAAGTTTGTTCAATTACCTGTACTGTATTCTATGAGAAGTTATGGCCAAATAACCAGAAAAAGGAAGCACAACTTGCTTAGGTTGATCTCAGGTAGCTTTCCTTCATCTGATTGTAGCCAATGAGCATGAATGTTTAGAGAGCCAATCAGGTGTCATCTTGTTTTGGTAATGAGCCAATCATATCACAGAAGGATTCAGTTCTTGATGTCATGTATTGAAGCTGAGAGGAGGACATTGGTCAGTATGTTATGTGATGGCTATCAAGTTGGTTGGGGTTTTTTTGTGTTCTTTCATTTAGTGAGCTTGTAAAATGTAATAAAATTAAAGTAATGGTGCAAAGAGTTGACTGGTTGCCCAGAAAGTGATGTAAAATAGTATTATTAAGTGAACAAGGCTCCAGTTATAAAGAAATTAGAAGACAAATTGGTGGAAACTTAACCAAAGGTAGCATTTCTACTGTACACCTTTCCCAAAAGGTTTCCACAATTTGGCCACTAATGTAGTTTTCTCGGGCTGAAACTTCTAGTTTTACTGATAATATTTCTGAAATGTGGATTCGGATACTGCTCTCGGGAAGACCTGATGTAATTTTCATCACAGAAGCAGGGAGAGATAAGAGTTGGCCAGATTCATGATTGCATCTCCTCCACAGAGACCTTCAGGGCATCAGACCCTCTGCAAATACATTGGTCCCTCTCAGTCCTTGAAAATGTCCTGGAAAAATGAGATTGGCAGTCAAACCGAATCTGAACCAGTCTTTGGCCACCAGGCTTACGTTTTCAATAACAGGTAGTCCTCGACTTAATGACCACAACCGAGCGCAAAATTTCCATTGCTAGGCAAGACCGTTTTTAAGTGAGTTTTACCCCATTTTATGACCTTTCTGGCCACAGTCGTTAAGTGAGACACTGCAGTTAGTAACACGGCTGTTAAGGGAATCCGGCTCCCCCATTGACTTTGCGGGTCAGAAGGTCGCAAAAGGGGGTCACGTGACCCTCCCGGGACCATGCAACCGTCATAAAGACAAGTCAGTTGCCAAGCCTCTGGATTTTGATCACGTGACCCTGGGGAGGCTGCAATAGTGGTAAAGTGTAGAAAAACCGGTCCTAAGTCACTTGTTTCAGTGCCGTTGTAACTTTGAACGGTCACTAAACAAACTGTTGTAAGCCAAGGACTGCCTACAGCATCCTGGGAAGAGCTCATATCTTAGGAGTAGATCATAGCTGAGTAGTTGTAGTGTGCAAAAGCTGCAAATTCAGACTTGATCTTGTTAAACATGACCAGAAAAGCACCTTTGGCTAAGAGTCTCAGCCTCTAATAACTTTTATGGAGGCCTGGCCCAGCTTTGTTGTTTCGAAGACGTCAGGCCAACATTGAGAGCATCATAAATACCACTT